AGTTTCTGTTATCAATGAATTCCAAATAAGCGCCAAAAAGTACCCCATACGGCAAGTCCTGGAGTAATAAAAAAGGTTGACTTTTACCTTGGTCTAACCTTGATACTTGACCCTAGGTCAATGTAATTTGTTTGTCTAATTGCTGTGTTGCCTAAGAAAGCATCTCAGAGATGTATGGCTTCGTTTAACACTCCGTTGTTGGATCCCATTCAGGGGTTCTCTAGAAGTTGCCTTCGCTGAAACCATGGCCTGATTTCGACCTGCCATGCGTCAGTGACCTTACAAGGGCAGATCTAAATTGTGGATGCCAGACGATCTGCTATTCAATTTTCTCGAGTTATGTAAAATTTGGTACGGCTACGCCGCGTCGTTCGGAACCCATTCCAGAAAAACCTTCGGGGAGTCAGTTTGACCCGCACCCGAGCACGTGTTAAAGTTCAACGATCGGTGCTTGCTTACCGGCTAAATGTAATTTCATCGATTGAACCCCAAATGCCCTTTGCTTGTGCATTGATTGCGTCAAGAAAAAACGATGACACATCATCTTAAACGTGGACAATTCTCACATTTCCGCATCAGACAGGGTTCGTTGTTAACATCACACACGGCGTAACTGAGCAGTTCCTTTTAAGTGACATCTCGCAGGCCAATAGATCTAACCATCGCCTTCACGTCCTGGTGATAACAGCACGCGAAAACCCTGTCAGTGAGTGTGGTATCCCTCACTCACAGATTAGGCATTTCAGCTCCCTGAAGTAGCTACTCGTCACGTCCCACTTCCTCTGCTATTGCCCCCCCCCCCCCCCCCACACACACCCTAAAATCTTGCTGTGCGTCGCACGCTTGTGTTTTAACAGGCAGTAAGCGGCCCTGGCTAGCCGCCATCTTTGTTGTGGTGTCTGCGCGCTTAGTTACTAAAATTTCATCATGACTGGGAATCCACATGCACGTGACACAACTGCCCTGATCGCTCGCAAGTCGGAGCTCGTCCCAGATGGAACAGATCAGGCGAGAGGGGCTGCTCGACTCCAGGATTTTTTTACAGGGTGTGTCGGCGGCAGGCAATATCTGAGTGACGTCATCTCAGACAGAAGCACTCACACAGTCCTGGCAATCCCCTTCGATTCATCCGTGAAAATAGTCAGAGAGCCGTCGTGCAAGGACATTCGTTCCGAAGCATGCTGCACAAGTTCCACCCTGGATGTATATCCTTTCTTGCAATGGCGCAAGTTTAGGTCACGCGCCAGAGATGCAAATTTCCACGGTGGTTGATGCTGATCTGGAGGGATGGTCGCGATCTCATCTATCGGGATGTCAGTCTGCAGCATCCGATTTCTGACGCGCATACATATCGAGCTTGAAAAGCTTTCCTACCCCTAAAAAGGAGCGAATAAGCGAGCCCGAGAACAACGAGTCATGGACCGGGTGAGTCGAAAATAACGAGTCATTTACCGGGTGAGTCGAAAACAATGAGTCATGTACCGATTAAGTCGAGAGTTGTGCTACTTTGATCGCGTAAATGAACGCAAGTTTCTGACGCCTCAAACCCAGCGGTGGCTCGTTAGCTTCCACTAGCACACCACCAGAACGCGACGCCTGAAGCGCTCCAGTTGCGATACAGACACAGAATTGGTGTACAGAGTCCAGAGGTGTCCTTGTGGGCATGAGAGTGCTGTCATAGACAGTAAAAGCATCATCGACAACAGAGCGATCAGCGTTCCTGTACAGCCTCAACACGCTGCACCTGTTTGTTCCGTACGTGGTGCGGAAACAGCTTTTATAACTTTCTCACGCCTCGGGCACTTTGTTTTGGGAGGTCGATTGCGGCGAATGAAAGTAAGACGACGATCCCGTGTCATGCCCAGAAACTTCGCATCGCTGCAAACCGAAAGGTCGGTACCATACAGGTGAAGTTCTGGGTCTCTGCACTGTTTCCTAGACACACAAGTGTATACAGGTGGTCTTAGCGGTCGAAAAAAGAATCCATTTGTCCAGCGGTATTGCGTCAGCCTGTCCAAACACACTTGAAGCTGTGTGCCCACGGATACTGTTGATGACGTTGAACATCAGATGGCGAAATTATCTACGAGTAATGATGGACCGAAATTCAGTGGTGCGCAATCAGGGATATCATTTATCATGATAGCAAAAAGGATGGCATAACAGCATGATATCAAAATGTTTGGGAGAAAAAATTTTTCCTGGTCATGAGCTGAAAGGCCCTTTCGTCCCAGCCAGGGGTAGCTATCAACCTCTGTTCTAGCGTTACACGCACCGGGGTGCTCTGGTCGATCCGGAGGCCCTCAAAGGGAAGCGCCATGCACCAGTCCCATCCCTGATGCGGCAGGTCCTCTGACACGGGCGTCTGACACAGGATCGACGCATGGGCAAGTCGTTGACGCAAAGCGATCACTTACCGGCTCATAGAGTCCAGTGCTTGATTCGCGCCGCCAAGACACCAATTTAGCTTACCGACCCCTGTCTCTTTGTTGAAATGATGCGGAGGGTCCTCGTTCGGTTCCGCGACCTCTGACTGTCACAGGTGACTCTCGTTGTGAGAGTAGACCATTGCATCGTCATTTTCATGCCTCCAGCCATTGCCAAGAGGACTTTTGGTGCCTCTTGGAAACAAAGATCATGTGGTTTGGAAATGCAATTTTGGTGTGGCTAAAGGGTTGGCTCATGAGTGGCCCAATGGGTGGGTGGCATGGCCCCATGCCTTCTCCCATCCACCCTCAGGATACACCCCTGCCTGCCTTGTTCGACCACAAGCAGAATAAGACCGTCAAATTTAAATAGCCCTGGAGCACTGTCGTCACGTCATTCAATGAAGATGCTCTAAAGCCCCTGTAGCTGATACTTCCGGGAGCAGCCAACAACCACTTAAAATTGTTGCTTTCCTGCAGCCTCCGGGAGAGGCCTCGAAGCGGCACCATTCGTGGGCACCCGCGGCATCCACTTTGACAGGCAGGTGCTGTGGCCAAATAGTAGCTGGCTCTTTTCCAGCAAATGATACGTCTTTGAACTAAAACAAGATGCAAAAACGGTGCCTTACATTTTCGGGAACTTTGAGATATCTATGAAGAAATATTACTAAACGACGAACGTCCATCTCCTGTACCGTGCTCATCCTCAAGAGATGAGCCCATGGTGATGAACGCAGCTCGTAGTATTAACTACCGTCAATAAAATCGTTGCTAATCACTACAATGTCTTTTCGCCATTACATCCTGATATGTGACAGGCCTTTAACTCAACGTAAACACTTTGACCTTATAATACCGAAAAACCAGAAGCTGAGGGACTTCCTTTCTTATCTGAAGTCCAAATTGTGACCGCAGAGTAATGTGGACCGAATTCGTGAAGAAATGCGTCTTGGAAATAGGATGGGGAGGTTGATGGGTTCAATCTCTCAAAGAAAAACGCAAAGTTCCACCGTTGCCGCCGGGTGTCTTCAGTCCGTCATCTTAGCAACACGGGATGGGATCCTCCAGTCGACCTGGGGCCCCTTAGAGAGATACATTATATCACATTGTTCCCCTCCCTGGCCCTGGAGGCCTTCTGACACACACATTTGGCCTTGGACCAACACAGAAACCCTGACTGACGCAACGACACCTCTGATCGCCGCAGGCGGTCCAATAATTGTCACATAGACTCCAGTTCCACACATTTTTTTGTTGTTCTAATATATTGAGAACTCGTGAACTTTTGTTGCATATCAAAGTGGGGCCAAAATTTGTAATGACATGGCTTACCTATGTTCTTCTTGAAATATCCAACATTCAGTCGGAATCGATTACTGAGAAAAAAATATTCAAGATGATTTTGAACGCGCGCGCTGATAAATCTCAGCCAGAACCACCTCGACGCCCGGCGTTGCAGTCTCCACAGGCCGCGCGGTGTCGTCCTTGTGGCTGACGTTAAGCAATGACCAATGGGCAAACGAAAAAGATAACGCGTTTGGACAGGACGGCTAGTGGACTGAGCAAATCAGCATGCATGTTTAATGTAGTACTAAAGTAAGCTGAATGCAACTTCAATCAGAAACAGTCTTTTCGGGGGGGAGGGCTTGACTGGGGGGCCCCCAACCTTCAAAAGTGGGAGGGGGGCATGGCCACCTGGACTCCCTGTCCCTATATCCATGGCCTGCAGGTGCGTGACGAATGGTATCCCCACGCACCGAACGCCGTAGTGTACTATGGTGAGCTATTTGACCATTGGCTACTGTGCTGGACCTTATGTCCTTTCGCTGTATGTTATAGCGTTTGAGGCTAATCTGCGTATCATAAGAGACCCTTGTGTCTTATAGGCTGGTCAGCACGGGATTGTGGGTAAAGAGAAACTTTTGCAGGTAAGCCGAGTTGGGTGTAAGACCCTGGTTCGAACCAGACCATGGTTCATATATAAGACCATGGTTCGAACCAGACCATGGTTCGAACCAGACCATGGTTCATATATAAGACCATGGTTCAGACCAGGGCGAAGGTTCCATGGCGAGAATGAACACAACGTGGGCGCTGCTTGTCGATTATTAACCAAGGTCAGTACTTCAAAATTGAGATTATTCTCCAGTGTTTTGTCCGAACGGCTGTACGTCTCGCCTTCCAGCGCCCGTCAGCCCGTACCAGACCCTGGGTCGGATATTTGGGCTTCCGCTCCCTGTTTGGGATGCCTTCCAAGGCAGAGCACGTCCCTGGGCCGGGGATGACACATCAGTCGGGGGTAGAAATCCCACTTCTTGCATGGCTATGTATGCACGAAAGCTATATTTAGGTTAAAAATGAGACCACTTAACGCCTGTATTCGGCGAGCATTTGAATAATCCGGATAGTCAAACGGAATGAGCTCATATTTTCCGCCAAAGGAACAAAAGCCTACGCCTAAATTTGGCAGATTATAAGGCAGTCAGCATATGGACGCATTTAAAGGTGATCACAATAATGGACTACGAGAGCCATTTGCGACGACGAACATACTGCTTGAGGTTCGCAAGGGAGGAGTGAGTAGAGCATCACATTTGGGTGCGTTGGGTGCGCGTGGTGGATGGGATCAGTCTCGCACGGTTCCGCCCGGTTCTGTTCAATACTTTCCACGTGGTGAGTTGGTCAGAATTGTGCGTGGATAAGGCGATAACAATAACCTTATTCCCCGGAGAAAAACGAGGGAAATGAAGGGGTAGATGCGTCGATATTTAGGCAAGGTGCCATTATTGAGACGAATGGCAGCAGTATGTCTTAAAGACTCATATTGTGGTACATCTATGGATATCATTATTCGTTTCTATAAAGATATGTTTCTGATATATCAACACATCTATCTCTTCATTCTTCTGGGTTGCCTATGAGGAATAGGGCTATTACTTCTGTAATATATGTATGCATAATGTTCTTCTCAAATGCTCTGAACAACATACATAATGTACATATGATCACACTGGTGTTAGAAAATGTGTTTGACAATGACTGAGCATATCCTCTAAGTCTGATTTTTTGGCAGAATGGGCTGAAAATTTGCAATCCATGTACTTACATATCTTTACAACCACAAGCAACAATGTTGAATTTAAAAGTGCCCACTTCCACCTATAGTCCCACTGTGAAACATGCAAAAGATTATTCCACTGTGCTGGGTGTATATTATCTATCTGTCAGCATACTCAACCTGACAGACTTGTCTCTAAAGTTGGCCAGGTGGAAGTCCTTCTAGTTCTAAAAAATATTTGCTTGAAAATGTTGTGGGTAGTATTTGTACCTGGAAGTAATTTTTTGGAAATCACAATTCCTTGAAGCATTGGCTATGTACAGGCTGTAATTAGTGGTCACTGTGTACCAAACTGGGCAATATCAGAATTTAGTGTAAACAACTGCAGTTTTTTATGCAATGTCACATGTCACCTGGGTGCAAAATGACCATTGCAGTGAGCACCCCCTGTGACCTTCATAATCATGATCATGATGCCACATCACTGGTGCACCAGACCTTTTCAGTGTGACACATACTGTTTGCAGTCTAGTTTTGTTCTAAAGTTATGAACCAAAATGCTGAAATGTTGTATGGTTTGTCTCCCAAGAAAACTTCTCAAAAAGGATACATGCCGTACAAATTGGCAGGCTCAGCCCCTTTAAGTCAAATAAGAAGGCACAAACAACAGTTGCAGTTGAGGCACCACTAAAGCATAATAACTGTTAATGAATCAAAGTAGCAGGTGAGGCAAATATCTTTTAAACTTGAGTAATTTCAAAGCAAAAAAGGTATCACAACTATTTATTCAAATTCAGCCTACAGCAAAATAGCCCATGGTGGAGACACAGTACTGCTGCAAAGCTGTTGCATCTTTTTGGGGTTCAGTGCTCACTCCAAGAATATGTGCATTTTTGCATCTCAGGGACGTTAACAGCAGATAGAAATAAACCAGAAGCCTGTAGTGTTTTAATTCATATGTTCATATACCATCTTAACTTTTCTAAATGGCTAATCCCATTTTTTGCATTTACTCCAATGCAGGAGGGTAACAATTTTTTCACCTTCCACAACCATGAAAAGCCATTGTCATACAAAGTCTACCAGACTGCTGTAGCAATGGTGGGTTAAGCCTTAAGGTATGTTAAAGTAAGCATTGCACCTATGGCTTTTGTGTGGAAAAAGTCTAACAGGTTTTGATCTTGACCTCTCAACATTTGACTTTAGTTAAGCCATTGGCTGGATGCATGCCTGCATACCCTTAGATTAGTATGATAACCAATATATTGGCTGCAGGGTTTTCTGCATTCCAAATACTTTGTTGTGTGCCTTGGGTCAGCCTGTTGTTCCAGTAAGCAGTGTTTGGGTTGTTTGTGCTGGTGATGGACTTTGTTCCTGTTAATTGTTGAGACCAGAGTTGGGCTCCAACTTTTAAAGAAGATTGCTGGCCTTAAGAGGGGTGCAAAACAAAAGCAAACAAAATGGCTGATGGCATTCAAAATATGTCTCATCAACAGAGATTAATGATCTGCAGTTTTACTTTCAAATACAAGTAGAAAGCTTAGGGTAGGTTTCATTGGAGTATTGAAAGCTGTTAGGGGTCTACAGCATGGTTATCCAAGAGATATATTTGACTTCCATGGAAGCAACACTGTAAGATGACATTCACATAACATTAAGTTAACCCATGGCAGAACACAATAGCATCATACTCCCTGTCAGTAGGGTGGTAGATCATTGGAGGAAGCTGCCTTATCAGACTGTCAGTGTTGACCTCACAGTGTTGTAAAAATGCTCCATTAAAGGGGCATTTTTTGACTACTCCTGGGCTTAAAACTAGATTGGGAGTTATTCAAATGCTGAACATTCATCAATTAGATGATCACATTATATTTTTATCTTGCTTGTCCAACAACTATATGTGTTATACTGGATGGGAGATGGTGAAACCTAGAATAACCCTCATGTCTCATTGTCTTTTTCCCATAAAATTCTTACTTTATTGTGTAAATGAGGTGCAATGCTAAATCATGTTTTGGGTGAATTTGCCTTTGTAACTAACAGAAAGAATCAAGCTGGTCATAGCCATTCTAAAAGGAATACCATAAGAGGGATCTTGCTGTTACACAAAAGTATCCTGGACAAGTTTGCCACCATTTTGATTTAAGGGTTATTTGCTGGTCCCCATCCATATGTGCTCCAGCTATGATATGTGTTCAAATAAGTCATGTTCTAAATCAGGCTCCACACATCATTTGTCTGTTTGACAGTGACCAAGAATATGGTATGGAGTAGCTTGAAAGAAACCGAGTTAGGTAAGGTGGTCAGATTTGACCAGGTATGTGGTAGGGCATTGAAGAAATGTGTTAGTACTTTAGCTATGGTAATGTGCTAGGGTAACTCTCATGTTGATATTTGATAGATCATAGAGCTTCTCAGAAGTACATGAGGACTGGAGCAATGTGAATGCGGTGCTGATTTTTAAGAAGGGTACCAAAGGAAAGAGTGACTACAGGCCTGTCAGTCGAACATCAGGAGTATGTAAGATCTTAGAGAAATTCGTGAAGGATAGTGTTCAGTCACCCTTAGATAGGCACCAGTTGACAAGTAGTGGTCAGCAAGGTTTCCTTTCTGTTAGGTCCTGTTTGACACATTGCTAGAGTTCATGGAGCATACTGGTAGTCAGATATATATGGACAGATAGATGGATAAATAAAGGCATTACTTTATATGTTGCTAATCTAGATTTTAGTAAGGCATGTGATAAGGTGCCACACCAATTTCTGGCATATAAGTTAAAGTTTCATGGCATTGAGGGAAAATTCTTTGCTTGGTAAGGGCTTAGCTGCTAGATGGGAAACCAAAAAACAGTGCTCATTGGTACGCAATACCAGTGGGAGTTAATAGAGATTTGGGTTTCACAAGGGCCAGTGTTGGGCTCTTTGCTCTTTATTATTTTGGTTAATGATATTGACATAGGACTGATAATTGTGTACTGAAATTTGCTGACAAGATTAACTTGGTAGGGATGTCAGAATATTCTGACCAAGTGAACCAATTCAACTTGACTTAGAGAATGTGGTTAACTGGGCTTTCCTGTGAGAGATACCATTCAATTATGTGTAAGGTCATGCATTTGGGCAGTTAAACTGTGACCAGTTCTTCAACAGAGTAAATTCATTCATCAAGCTTTGTTCATGTTGTTATGTAGTGCGTCGATTAATAGGCAATCACATGTGCTTTCTAGCTCCAGCTGTTAAGGTTAATGTCACATCCACCAAAATGACAAACTACCTGCAAACCTTGGCCAAAAAAAGAAAATGCTCCCATCTTGTGAAGGCACCATGAAAGTTGAAAGCCATCTGATGGTACTTGCTAGTGTGAGTGTCATTGAGGCTTTACGACGCACTCAGCTGCTGAGGCGATATGGCGTCGCCTGCCTCTCACCCTGGCAAGAAGAGTGGGCACTGCGGACCTGTGCTTAGTCCTACAAATCATAGTCTCAAGATATATGGTTGGAATTTCAGTTGTGCTGACAATATCCTGTCAAAGTGTACCATGCTCACTAGACTAGATCACAGTTGCAAAATAAGGACACTAATGTAGTTGTTCTGCACATCACATCAACACCCCTCAAATGGTCGGTTGTGAATTTCATGCTCAGATTTTGCACCTATCATGAACCATGTTTGAGTAGGAGCTCATCTCATCAACTTGCCCAGCTGCACACCTGAGTTTACAGAACACATGGGCATGATTGTGAACCAACAAATGTAGTGCCTAATAAACATTTATCCCTCAGCCTTGGCTGAAGATCCGTTGTTAGGGCTCCTATGCCACTTAAATCCCTTTCCATGCTGATCGATGTAACGATTGAATGGTGCGTGCGTGCGTACGTGCGTGTGTGCGCGCGTGCGTGCGTGCGTGTGTGTTTAATGATCATTTCACTCACATCGATTGACTCATTTATGCTGTTGTGGGTGCAACAAATTCATCAATTTTTTTCTTAACAATTAGTTTATAAATCCGTGTCGTGAGTCCCCTTCATAGTGTGCAAACTATTATGGCCTGCATTTATCTCCGCCTCGGCATACATTTACTACGCATTTTATTCAATTGAGAGTCTAATACGTTGCCTTCGCATCAACGTTCTTGAAAAGAAATCTGATGTTAGCATTGCAAAGCAGAAACGTGAGTGGTTTTAACTTTTAAAGCTCAGGTTTTGCTAAGCTCGGTCAGCATTGCTCCGATCAAGCCGACGTTTGCGTGGCTAATTGCAGGGGATCGAAACAAATTTTGAGAACCCATTGTCTTGAAAACGTGAGAAACGAGCGTGTGAAAGTGTGTAGAGACATCTCAAGTGCAGATAGGGGGACTGCGTGGCCCGACCTTATACGGCAGGTCGTGAGCTCGACTCTGGACCGTGTCCCATTGTCTCATCGCCCCAGCGGCAAGTGGGCGCGGGAGCCGTGAGCGCTAAATGCGAAATAGCATGAATGCGCCACTTAAGTGGCGTCCGACTCCTAAAAGCCCCAACTACTACTACTGCCCGGCGTGAATCGCGCGCCAGCCACCCCCTGAGCTCCGCCGCTGGCCGCAGGCGCACCAGCCGGTCGGAGGAGCGCCATGTCGTCCCGCACGTGCCAGCACTGCGGCTGCGGCGACATCGACGTGGACGCCGGCCGCGGCGACGCCGTCTGCACCGGCTGCGGCTCGGTGCTCGAGGAGCACATCATCGTCTCGGAAGTGCAGTTCCAGGAGAACGCGCACGGCGGCAGCAACGCCATTGGACAGTTTGTCGGCGCCGACGGCAAGGGATCCAAGGGTCTGGCTGCCGGTGAGTGAGTGGGCGAGGATGTACTTCTCACCCGGTTGCATTAAGTCGGGAATTTCTTGGGATTGGAATCGCAGCGTGGGGTTAAATGAGCCCGTGAGCCCGTACTGAGGTTCATTTAGTCTGTACACAATTGTCGAGTTGCGTGACTTCGACCGCTCCCACGCTTAATAAAAAACCTTTATGTGCTTTTCGTGATGAAGGTATGCTGTTCCTGGCTACCACGTCTGCCTGCTTCCGCCAGTTCGCGGAATGCAATAATCGCCATCTTCTTACTCCTGCAATAAAACGCAATGAACTGCTTTGCAGGATTTCACACGGGCGTTGGCAAGGAATCGCGCGAGTTGACGCTCAGAAATGCCAAGAAGAAAATAAACTGGCTGGCCCAGCAACTTCGGTGGGACTTCCTCCATTCTTTTTCTGGCGTTCAGTTATTTTATTGTCGTGGACTGATACTCTCCCTTTCTAGTGTTGTTCACTTACATGGTCCGTTTCTATGCCATTTCGCGCTTTGTTGATCTTAATTAGATTAACGCGTACCCTGTGATGGAACTAAAGGCACTGATAACGTAATCCAAGCATGCATGCACGGAAGACTACCCCGTCGTCCCGTCCACGAATGCGGAAGATTCATGCAAAAAGCCGGACTTTTGGTGTCGCTGTGAGAGTTTCGCCAGCGCACCCCCTCCCACGTACTTGGCATCTCCTGCAATGCCCCACTTGTGCGGTGTTGCAGCCTGAACCAGCACTGCGTGGACACAGCGCACAACTTCTTCAAGATGGCGCTGTCGCGCGGCCTGACACGGGGCCGTCGCAGCAACCAGGTCATCGGCGCCTGTCTCTACATCACCTGCCGCACCGAGGGCACGCCGCGTATCCTTTCCGGCGGAAGCTGAGCATGTTGTTTCTTGGGGCGGGATCGTCCGAGTTGAAGGCAACCTATTAATCCAAGAAACAGGTGCATGGTGGTGACTCGTGGACCGTCTGTGGTGTCGGTTTATTTAGTGCTGCGACCGCTCGCTGGGAACGCGAAGCCGCGTTTAAGAAAGACCGCGCAATGGCGTATGTCTGATAGTTCTTATGTACTAACGTGCCGTTTGTGCTCGCATAGAGTAACGCGAACTTAACGGCAAAATGCGGCCATTTGTGAAATGAACCCTGAAGGTAATGCGACATTGTGGGAGGAATGCTTAATGATCTACCTTCAAAGAAGAACTCCAAAAGCGCTCTGCTGATAAGAAGCGTATACATGCCAACATACGGGTCATGTTCACTCCAAAACCGCGCAAACCTCGCTCTTAAGTCCAATCGGATATTATATAATAAGTCCAATCTTAAACTGGATATGTTCCATTGTGCCAAGGGTGCGTACTCACACGCAGTTGCTAACATAATCAGGCGCATCAAGGTGGTAAGGAATGCCCGTACATGGCACGGTCAAGCCATTATGGACATAATGCTTGCCAAACGTCAGAGTGGATCTCCATCAGTATGTTCGGGGCTGAGCCTAGCTGTTTGGACGAACTCCGTTGCACCAGTTCGTCGTTTTTCCAGGGTGACAGAATGCACTGTCCAATGACAAAATCTACCTGCAGCGACCACAATGTGCTAAGCACATGTAACCCATGCACTTATTTGGACCCCTGCACCTATGCAGAGTATTTGTACTTGTGTGTGTCGCTAGCTTTGTGGCGTACTTCAGCACCGGCCGGCTGCCTTTTGACGTGCGTTGGCTTCCTTGACGAGCGTGCGTGCAGACATGCTGATCGACTTCAGCGACATTCTGCTGGTGGACGTGTGTGAGCTGGGCCGCACCTACATGGCGCTCGCCAACGCGCTCTGCATCAACATACCCATCATGGGTGAGTACCGAGCGTGCGCGGCTGTGCGCGCGCACGGGCTGCCCTTCAGCCAATCAGCGTGCGTGATGCTGTACGGTTTTAGTACTTAACGGGGAAGTGCTGATTTTTCTTTGCAGTCTTGTTGCGTCGGCGTTTTGCTAATGCGTGTGAAGCGAACTGTGTTCAAACTTCAGATCCTCACACATGTGGAATCACGTACCGAAATCGTAAGTTAAAGGAAGCGCTCCACACTGGGACTTTACCTATGGGAGGTTTGGACTGAAATGGCCGTCTTGAGGATCAATCGGTGCAGATCACAGCCCTTCCCCTCTTAATACCGAAACCTCTCTAGTTTCTGAGCTACACACCCGCGAAGATGGAAAGGCTGTTTCAGGGGAATATTTCAGTGCCATCTTGGCATTCATAACATCATAATAACATCTTTCAAATCCTACCACTCAATAAGCCATGTGGCGATCAAGGCTATGAAAAATACAGTGGTCGAATCGCTCATATCTGGCGTTCGTGGGGACGGTTTCCAGATATAGCATCCGTCAATTGGCTCTCAATCAATGCTGTGCAAGGTACGGTGACAGATTCAAGCAATGACGTATCAAAGAGCACATTTACCAAACAGAGAAATTGTGTTATCTGGAGCGGTCGGTCTCTACTTTGAAAATGCCGATAGTTACACGTAATATAGTACCAATATTTATAAGTAAGGTTGTTTCATTATATCTGGTGCTTACTGCAATGTCTTGAAATTTGAAACATTCCCTTTAATCTGCTAGATGTCTAAAGATCTTGAATCCTAGAAAAATGCCTTCGTGTGAAGTTTCCCAACGGATTCTTGTATGATTACTTGGTGACATTTCAGGCCTTTGTAACCTTTGTAAGTCTGGCACAAAACTCTGTAGGCATTGCATGGATTAGACGCCGAGGACCTGGACCTGGTGGAATATGAGAACGTAGTATGGCGCCGGACCACAGAGTTTGTGAGAGGATCGCGACTTTTGGAACGCATCACATCGACATGGTCGTGCTGTAGATATAGTTTTACCTAGCATCAGAGTTCTGGCCTTGTTCTCAGTGTCTACGCTATCTTATAGCAAAGTCCCGGCTGCAGCGCATTGTACTTACTTGGGAAACCCTGATGGATTTCAGCACCAGGGAGGTGGGTGGTCCATTCCTCAGTTATCATTGCAAAGCAATCGCCGAGGTTCGTTCGACTCGTACGGGAAACGGTCAGGCCCCTTTTAAGGGTCCAAAAAGGATGAGTGTTTCTTGAATATTACACAAAAAAGAAAGGAATACTTTCAGATCCTTTTTCGGCTTTACGAGTTCAGGGTTGCTACGCTGGAGTGTCGACCTTAAATGCGCCAGGAAGTACTGATCAGACAGCGTTTTAGTGTTCACATTGGTTATATCGACAGTGCTCAACGTTTCAAGCTGGGCTTGTGGTCATTGCAAATCGGCACGTCCCATGGCTCTTAAAAAAGCAGGTCTTATATCGCAAAAGCGGAGGTCGGCGCGGGTACCTCCCGATCTACGACTGCGCAAACGTAGTCTAACGTAAATGCTCCTTCCTCGTGAGAAGGGATACCCAGAACACCGATCCATGCCTGGGGTTTGTGTCGCCGTTCTTGATCTAACTCTACATCAGGTTCACTTAGTCGATGCACCTAGGTTAGAAATTGCCCACAAACCGCGCTGGAAAGAATTGATTCATGAGGTAAATGACGGTATCTTATTTTAAAAAGAAGATTTTATCCGAACCCTTTGAATGGATGGATTTCTGGGATCAGGGCTCACGCTAAGCAGTGATTGTTGTGTGAGCCCTGACCCCTACCACCCGATCGCACAATTCCATGTCAACGGCAGAATTTGGTGGCGAAAGCTTAACGTGCCGCAATGCTCGGCACGGTCCGTGCTGTCCCCTGACGTCAGCTGGCCTTCAGCGCGACCGCTGCCACCGGCCTGTCGGGGGCAAATAGCGAGTGTCTAAAGCGACTCGAACCCACCCCGCCACGGGTGGGTGGATCGGAAAGGAGGCGCTCTAACCAACTGAGCCACCGGAACGGACTTATTCTATATAACGGACTTATCCTATTTAACTTATCCTATCATGTACGGCGAACTGAGATGTTTCATGGCACGTTCCAGATTACTTAAGTATCAAAACCGTCGTCCTGTCTTTTTATATAGCCTTGGTTTGTTGCCTGCCTGTTTTAAGCTCCCTCAACATAGGTTCGTGAAGTTCAAGATGGATATGCCACGTCTATCTTTAACTTAAACGTTTTGCGAAGTATATATATATATATATATATATATATATATATATATACACACACACACATATATATATATATATATGTATATATATATATATATATAAACATATTCATCGGGCCAACAAGGTAATCATGGTGATTATAGGCGTCCTTAACCTGGTAGACATTTCAGACAACGACCACAATTTCAGTCAGGTAGCACAATAATGTTAAGAGCATGTAAGTTGTGTGGAAAGCCGGCAATGCGTGCAACATCAGTTAATCTCCTAAAATGCCGGGCTATGCAAAACGTGTGCGACAGATGTAAGTACGGAACTTGTGTAAGAAGTGTTCGTCTTCGTCCAACATAAAACGACGGATCAAGCGGGCTGCGCTGAAGCAGGCTGCCGGCTGAACAAAATTATGCTTAAAGGAACCAGATTCCCGAGAGTTTGAATTTTGCTATCGTGCGGTGTGAAGAAGTATAATTCGCCATTAGATACTGTGGCAGGCGTCCCATCTGCTTTGCACACCAATAAGCGGTGGTGCTGATCCATACACATGCAGCAAAGCGTTCATGCGATCAGTTCGCGGTCAGCCATGCGGGGGACAGCCGGTCGAGGGTCGCCACTGGTCGACGGCAGCGGACTCAGACAAGGAATAGCCCAAAGAATTTCTTGTATTCTATGACTTGGGTTTGTACTGGAGAAACACCGGTTTTATGACTTTTGTCGCTTTGTTTCTGACATGTGACATTCAGCTTCCGAATTTGTTTCTGTCTAAACTGTTACGACAAAAACTCATTTCTTGCACATTAGTTGGCGAAACCCAGGCACATGAAAACTTAGACGCATCGTAGGCCATTGGCGCGTCTTTGAAATTCTGACCAGCCTGTACCTGGGCCTTAATTTGTCACGTGAACTGTAGAGATAGATGACCCCAGTGACCCCAAATTCCTCCCCGCTCGTGGAATATTGCTTCCCCAGGGTAAACGTCATTGAAACACATGAACAATTTTAAAAACATGCCATGTCTGCTGAATGGTACAGATAGGTCAAGAACGTAAGATCATGCACGATGAGAAGATGGCTGAAGGTGTACACACAGTATAGCAATGAGGACATGCACTTATCTCCAAAATGTGTTATGTGCATTAAGAGCAGACAAAGTTCTCCATCCCACTCCTGCCCTGGTCGCCGTGCTTGACACCCACGAACATTTCCCTAAGTGTACCCCAAGCCTGGTCCCTCCTCACCTTGTTGAAACTTTCCTACGCTTATGCTCGGGCCGCACCGAACAAAGCATTTTGTTGGTTGTAAAGTAATGGATTGCGTGCACCAGTAACAGTGGAACCCCACTGGAGCCTGGGGAGGCGAGATAAGCGCGAGTTTTACCCTGTTAATTTGCATGCGCCGCCGAAGAGCTATGTGAAATATTGCGTTGAGTTGTCGGCTGCCACCCCCCCCCCCCCCTGCCCCCTCGCCGACCGTCGTGTATTGAAGCTTTCAGGCATGGTCATGAGCGTAGCCGACGACGTTTAAACGATGCAGTATATGAACGAGCTTTCGAACGGTGCAACAGTAACTTCCGCCGGCTGAACTCCCGTGAAAGACGAACTTTCCAGTGCATTGATCGGACCCGTTTGTGAGGTTACCGGGGGCGTCTGGCGCCAGCAGCGTGAGTTACAGCGTCGTGGTGGCGGCTGGTAACTCACGGGTGCCATCCCTGCGCCTGTCCAACGGGGCCAACCTATGTTACTGGTGTGTCCAAGGCAGTACTTGGCGTAGCAAACCGTTCGCTGTGCGTCGTTCCCCATGGTGTGAACCAGGCCTCCCAGCCCCAGGTCTAAGTTGAATCTGTGTTTGCGTCGGAGTGGTGGTGCCGAGCCTTGTGTCTCGGCGTGGCCGTTTCCATATCCGTGTGTGACGTTGAGTCACATATGAGTCCGGTTCAGATTCTTGGAGCTTGAGGCCCGGCTACCAGTGCAGTAATACCGCTTTGCTTTATTTTCGAAGCATAAGTTCTATGCATTAGTAATTCAAAATCAATGCTATCCAAATGTGTATTAAAGCGTTAATTATGGCCAGAGGTAGAGCTTTGTGCACATTGTGTAAAAAAGTGCCACATTGGCATTTGAAGCGATTTTATCCTGCACACGGTACTATGCTCAGTGTGTTCGTTACTGCACGTATCTTGTGCCCCCCCCCCTCCCCCAACCAATAGCATCTAATTTGGTTTGCGTTTATTAACACTAAGATCAAGTCTGAAAGATGTTACATATGGCGTTGAACAGGGACTGACATGCACCAACTTTGACGTCATTCCGATTCGAATCTGGGTTGTTTGGTTCAGTTCCGGTTCAGGGTTGAAATCCCAGTCTCGTGTTCTGAGAATGGCTTCCAGCCATGTAGATGTCTGTTCAGGCGTAGATCAGTTCAAGGCAGGTTCTAGTAGTTGCTCAGAGGGAATGTTCCACATTTGATGAAATAAGAGTGACCGTGAGATATGGTGAAATAAGCTTACTTTATATAACTTTTAATAACTTTGGGATACTTTAAGTGGGAAGGGCTGCTCTAAACAGCACAATTTCTCTGTTTAGTGCATATGCTCCTCAATTCGTCATTGTTCGATCACGAAATCGTACCCTACATAACATTAATTGAGAGCCAATTGGCGGCCATTATATATGTCAACCGTGCTCATGAACACCAGCTATGAACGACTCGACAATCCTATTTTTCTTATCCCTGATCGCCGCATTGCCAATGAAATGGCGGGATTTGAATGACATTATGGCGCCACAGATGCCTGGGTGACATTGAAATGGTCTCCCCGGAATATTCTGCACATCTTCGCGGGCGTGTAGCTCCGAAACGGGAAGGATTTATTAAGGGCCTATGAAAGGCACGGCTGTGAATTGCACCGAATGATCTTGAATGTGGCTATTGCACTTCAAGTGAAATGCACAAAAAAGAGATACAAGGTACAAAGTGGGATGCTCCCTTTGAAGGGATTGTCCCATGTTTGGAGATACGGGAGAAACATCAGCTATGATGGATAAAAACACGCTTGTAATCATTGGCATGCTTTTAAATGCAAAAAAACTGCTTTGAATAACACGATTTCAGTACTAAGTAAATGCGTTCCACTGTAAGTCCTCGTTTGATTACGTCATGGATCGTTTTCGTGACGTCAGAGTCGCGGCCAGAGTTGCCGCTGTCGCTGTCGGGGTCACTCGGTTGTGCTTCTACGTGCCTCAAGGTGACCTTTGCATTTACGTGTGTTGATTTGACGAAAGAGTGTGCGCGCTTTTGTTTCCGCATTTTTTGTGGTGGCCTTGTCTTCCGTGCTGGAATCCTCCGTACCTGCATTTGCATTTTCGGTTACGGTGGTAATTCTGAAGTTAGTTGATCCCCAGCCTCACGACCGTCATTTGTCCAAGTACTAACGTTATTTGTGGCGCAGCGCAGTTGATGATCGATACATGCAGTCAGAGGCCGAGTCCTGACTTTGAGCTATTGGCGCCGTTGGTCGGAGTCGAGTGCTCGCGTGAAATTTGTATGACGTGCATGCCTGGGTGACTTTCCCATATGCAAGTCATTGCCTGCACAAATTCGCGTGCATCTGGCTCAGAAAAAGACGACTTGAAGTCTTAAAAAGAACTTGATTATGAACTGCAAGGAACAATCATGGTGGTGGCTATCAGTCCAAAAGGCCACACAAATGGGGGACAGTCCCTTCAGATTGGTGAGCTTGATTCTTGTTCACATGAAATCAATAGATCCCTCCGAGTCGAAGCCCCAAATTGCCATCGGCCCGGAATAAGTCACATGCGTCGTACGAATAGCTGAGTCGTTTTGACGCCCCTGTGACCAATATTCGTGCCTATGTATGTCATCCGCGGGGACGGACCCGAGCTCAGTTGACTTGTTCAGTCGCGGCCGTTCGTGAGGTCGCAATGGTTGAGACGCACAGCTCGTTGCATGTGTGGTGTCCCAAAATTTATTCAGAAGTGTGTCCAGAATGGAAATATAAATGCATGCTGAACGAATCTTGGTTCTCCGGCGGCCTCCGCGCGCTGTGCGTCGGTGCCAATCCATTACCCTTCGACCCCGAACCCAGACATCCGACCTGCAAGCCTGCAACACCTGGATGCCGGGTTGACCGCCGCCCGGTTCGAAGCCAATTAACCGATTTTGAACACGGAGAGGGCCAGCAGGTGGTGAACTCCAAGCCAGACGTGAAGCATGCATGCACAAATATCGACGCCCCTGCCATCCAAGCGGCTGAATATTGATGCTCTGTGTGACATGAGCGAGGGAAGCTGAGGGCACGCATCGCGCTGGTGCCGCACTTTGCGAGACGTGGCTTGTCCTGTTCGATGCCTGGCCCAGACTTTGAATCCCGCACTTGCTCAGAATTTGGAGATCCACCACAAAGCATGACCCATTCGCGGAACGGTCGAGGCTGGGAAAACGCGTCATCTAGTAGCAAGATTGCTGTATTTATGGAGACAGTCGTCCATTTGCCCGAGCCGTAAAAGTGACACCGATCCACAAATCGGCAATATAACCCGCAGCTCTATCGCTGCCATATACAGTCAGATCAATGGGGTCATCACAACGGAGACGCCGCGGCGCCGCGAGCGCGCCCACGACACGTCAGCGCGGGCCTCGCCGCGCGTGCGCCACATCGTGAACATGCGCGTCTGCTGTGCACCCAGTCGTCGACGCGACCTGAACACGTGCGAACACGTACACTGTACACTCGCCCTGACAGGCATATGTCAGTACGAAGGAACGCTGCCGGGCTCAATACAACAGCGCTGCCGTACACGACACGACAACTCACCAACAGCGGCAGCCGATGCGCGTCCGCCCTTCCCCCGCCGAACACACCTCAGATCCTGAAACTGGCGGCCGTCCCTGACATCGGGGCGCCCCGGGGCGGCCGGCGCGGCGCCCCCGCCCGCAGTATGGCACTGACCAGCCGGCGGCGGCGGCGGCGGCGGCCCACTACAGCCGCACCGACTCGTCGGCGGCCGGCGCCGGCCCGTAGAACATCAGTTCGGGGATCTGACCGCCCTGCACGCCCGTGCCGTTGGTCGAGTCGGACGAGCACTGGAACTGGAAGGTGACCGGGCCGACGGCCACCTCGCTCATGCCCTCCTGGCCGAAGTAGGAGAGCTCGGCGCCGTCCAGCACCGCCGACGCCGTGTAGTAGGTGTCCGGCTCCACCTAAAGACGGGACCGTCCGGTCAGGGGCAGGACGCGGGGCGTGGCGCACGGCCGGCCGGCCGGGCGTCAGCAACAAGATCAGGGCGGAAGGGACCAAGCGTGCGCGTGAACGCGGCAGATCGGTCGCGCGCACGAAGACACGCGCAGGGTCGTGAGTGATAAACCTGGCAGGATCCCCACGCATGTATGAACAGCACCGATCCTATCTACGCCAAGACGCCTGTCGCGCGTATCAAGGCCGCCGCCGATGGGCCCGGACGTACCCGACATCGCCCGGGATTTAAGCATCGTTTAGGTACGTTGTATGCCCAGCAATGGTCATCGATGTTTATTCGCCCTACTGAGCATGCCGCTGCGATGAATGCGGCACTCGTCAATCGTTCAGATCCCCGACCGAACCGGCCGTCGCTCCGCCCGTCGCCGCCCACCTGTATCGGGTGCCGGAAGTGCACGTGGAACGTGTTGCTGCTGCCGTCGGAGAAGAAGTGGGCCGTGTTGTCGGCCAGCACGCGGCCCAGTCGCTTCAGCTCCATGCGCACGCGGTAGTCGGCCGCCCCGTTCGACGAGCCGTACAGGCCGAAGCCGACGATGAAGATGCGCTTGTCGACGCAGAACTGGATGCTGTCGCAGCGGCCGCGGTAGCGCCACTGATTGCCGCGGTACGCCGACGACTGGAACCGGTGGCAGACCTGCCGGTGGCGGCGGCGTCCGCGTGAGTAGTGCGCTACCGCCGCTGGCCCCGGCCAAAGCCATGAACGCACGGGGCATCCGCACACAACATAAAAACAAAACAAAACAGACGCATAGAGCGTACGGAAACAGCGGCAGTGACATCGTGTCGGCATTGAGCCGATCCGTCAGGAGAAGAGACCTAGAAGAGCCAGCCAGCGGCTGCCCTGACCGTCCAAACCTCCCGAAGGAACGGGTCCCGTGTAGCCTGCGCCGTCCTGGTCACAGCAGGATGCCTGCCACTGCGCTCGCCGTGCGTCCGGGGCTGACATGGCCCCATGCCAGCCCGCGACCCGGCGGTGAGAGGGCGGCCCGGCTGACCTGCGCCTTGAGACCGGTGCGCGGCACGGAGGAGAGCTCGATGGCCGGCTTCTGCTTGGCCGTGTAGTGCAGGAAGATGTCGGTGGTTTCCTGCAGCGTGAGGATGCCCGACTGGGCGGCCGTGTCGGCGTACTCCTCCAGACTCATGGCCGGGATGCGGATGAGGTACAGCACGTCGCCCAGCGCCTGCCGACACGCACGGAGCACCGGGTCAGGCTCGGCACGTCACTCGCCGGCACGGGCGAACACGGACGGTAACGTCACCTTCGGCACACGACCAACACCCAGCACTTGGATGTCGCTGCTTGTACGCAAGGTCGGGTGCGAAATTAATGACTCCATTACCGCCGACATGGCTTGGAAACTACGGAAACTTGTCACCGGCACAAGCGCGTTCAGCGTTGAAGCACCGGTGTGGCCCTTTTCGATCCTGACCTCGAATCCCACACAGTTTTAACTTCTTGTCGCACAAATTATTTGCCAACTGAATCGCACGCATTGCCACCGGGAAACCTTGCCAGACAACATGCCCCCGTACGAGGGGCGTTCTACAGCAGCCAGCGCCGACCTGTCGCATGCTCTCGGGCGTGGGCTGGTCGTCGCCACGGCGGCGGCACTCCTCGCGCGCCCAGCTCAGCGCCGCCTCGAACACCACCACCTCCTTGCAGTTGAGCGTCTCGCGCGCCAGCACCGACTTGAGTGTGTTGTGGTCCACCTCGGTGAAGCCCTCCGAGCGGAGAGCCACCTCGGCCTGGAGAAGAACCCGGGACGTCAGCGACCGCGCGGGATCGGCCCAGCCCCTGCTGAGGATGGTGGAGCCGACCACCCATGCGACCCACATGGTGCACAAGCGTGTTTTCACGAAGCACATTCTACCGACGGTCGATCAGTGCATGTTGCAATGCTTGAAGAGGACGTTGGCGCATCCGAAACCACATCGGCGTATCATAGCGAATCATGAATCGGAGCATATCGTACATCATATATCATAGCATATCAACAGAGCATATCATAATCATCATCACCATCATCATCATCGTCATTATCATTAACATCATCACAGCATATCATGCACCAAAGCACAGCAATCATATCAGACTAGAAGCACCGGACGCATGTTCCGCTGATCATGCCGTCGCCGCGCCGACGGGAACGTCGCACCTGGGCGTCGATGATCTCCCAGCAGCGCTGCATCAGCTCCGGCTCCTCGAACAGCCGGCTCTGGCTGAGCAGCAGGCACGCGTTGCCCGCCGTCAGACTCGTCTCCAGGTAGCCGACGCAGGCGCGCGCCAGGAACGGCACGATGTACTTCTTGGCGGCGTACAGCGTGGCCAGCACTGTGTCCGCCTCCGGGAAGAACTCGTCCGTGTACAGGTACCTGCGGCGGGACGACGGACGGGGCGTCAGCTTCCCAAACGGCGTGGGACACATCGCGGCACCACGCGCGGCCGCCCGGCTGCTTCGGAGCAGTGTTCGGAATAGCGTTTACAACACTGAAGTGGTCGCTAGCGGCGGCGGTCCTTGCGGTGGACGTATGGCGATGCGAGGACGTTGGCGTATCGATACGGGCCAAACCGACCTCTCCGCTCGCCTGGCGCTCCGTACCGGCCACCGAAGCGGCGTCGCCGCCGCGTCAGCTGCAGACGCCGACCCCGCGGCCGGCGGCGGAGGCGGCGCGCTCACCGCAGCATGACGAGGAAAGCCACCGGCTCGACGTCCGGCACCTCGATCTCGTCCTGGTCCTCGGCCAGGCCGCCGTAGAACATGGCGTAGAACACGGAGCTGCCCGTGGCCAGCACGTACTTGTGCGCCGGGATCCGCTGGGTGGCGCCTGCACGTTCAGGGCGAAGCGTCAGGAGGTGGGCGTCAACATGGACGGCGAGCAGTGGTGCGACTTTTGATCCTTTGAGTTTGGTGGGGGTCAACGTCAGGGTGCCTAGATCCCCCCAGCCATGTTCCCAACGCTGGCGGTTTAGATGAGAAATGCACACTCTTCAGGAGCTGCGTGCCGGGTGTGGGACGTGCCAACGGCATGTATTGGACAGTTTTGGGCCCGGTGTAACGCGTTGCTCATTACCTAACGGCCTATCACGTCCGTCCCAAACACATCCAAACTATTCTCCCCCCCCCCCCCCCAAGAACGCCGGGTGTGGTGCGGCGCAGGGTGGACAATTCTGGCTGCATTCTGTCCGGGCGCAGGCGGCGATGTTCTCTGTGCCGGGCTGTGCTCGGCTGCAGCCCGTCTGTGCGGTCCAGGGCTCCCAGCCCGCCCGCCCGGCGTGGACGCCTCCACATCCCGCCGGCGCGCTCACCGGGCGGTCCGGCTACGAAGTGCACGTCCGCCATCAGCTCGTTGTTGAACATGGCGGCGTTGCGCTCGCGCAGGCCGGCCCTGGTCGCCTGCCAGTTGGGGTCGCTGGTGGAGGGCACCGGCGTCGGCGACAGGCACTGCGGCCGCGCGCCCGGCGCCGTCGGCGAGGTGGGCGCGCTGAACGGCTGCTGCACCTGCAGCGGCACGTCCTGGCAGTCGGCCGGCGCCGGCGGCGGCGGCGACAGGTTGCCGCCCACATTGCCGTACGCTGCGGCGGCCAGGCGGTGGCGTTAGAGAACGGGCGGCGGAGCTGACTGTGATGGTGATGGGGTTCTGGAGTGCGCGGACCGCAATGGCCATTTTGCGCCGAAGCCGGCGAAATTTGTGGTGGGGCCGAGACATTGACACTGGAGGTATGCATGGTGGTTTGGTCCCATTTACAAGCATTTAAGGCAAATATATACAGATACATCAATTCAAAACTACACGTCTGACTAAAGATGCATCACTCATGCCACTCCTAGTGTTCTTATCCCAAAACATACTGATAAGCAAGATGTTGAGATCCTAGTTAAAGAAAAACATCAATTTGCAGAGTATGTTATGAGAATATTCAACCTCTCAAGGGAGGATTTATGTGCCATGACCCCTGCCTTCAGAGGTTGAATATACTTGTAATGTATCCTAATGATTGGTTCAAATAATCTAAGTACATTGAAGGTCAGCTCTTTATGCAAAGGACTCCCTGCTAAACAGCTGGAATTTTAAGAATAGTGCACCATTGTTACCAATAATTGCTAACAAATGGGATTTGTGCATCAATGTGCAGCATTTTTCTGTAACACTGTTCCCTCTTCTGCATTGTACATGCTACCTACAAATTAATTTTATCCTCAACTTTTTTCTATCAAGGACTTCAAAATTATTGCACTGAAGACTTGCTGTGCAACACTACTCAAGATGTTACCTGTGTCCACTCAGAACTCTATGAGCAAGTACGCTTCACATGCCATTTCAGAAGCACACACAATGGAGGGGTGCACATGCCCGTGTTTATCCACGTACATGAAGCTCTGGTATGGTAGATAACTAGTGTATAAATGCTCACACAATTTAATCTGCACAATCTTGCTAGGTGAAGGCAGACACATTTACATCACTCTGATAAAACATGACAATTATTGTTCCCTTTGTGCTGCAGAATGCAGGATACAAAATTTTGGCATGAGGCGGCAACAAGATAGCACAAGAAAATTATGGTAGTATTTAGTTGTTGCTCCCCAAAACCTGCACTTTGTTGGAAGATTAAGACTTTTTAGTGTCTCAGCACACTGGAAGATTGGAGATGTGTATTGGGACTGTGCCAGATACAACTAATCTGCATTGTACACTTTGAGCTATGTGTGATGTCAGTTCAAGTAGTAGCTTTGTATCCAGCCCAGTTAAAACCAGGGCAGTAGTGTTTCTTGAGGTCTCTTTCTAGCATATCTTTCTTCAGATAAGGTAGTGTTTCTTTAGGTGCAAAAATGCCAACAAACATCAAGACATTTCTAATGGTGGTTATGAGGCTTATGTTACCTCAGGTTCTGTAGGAGTCCTGTGTTTACTCCAGATATTTGATTCCTGAATATGCTAGATCAAGAAAACTGCTTATGCAGAAATGTTTCAGTAAAATGATACATGGGTTGCATGTGATTTGTATGATTTATAGCTTTCATGGCAGCTAGATGCTTAAAAATACTCATCTGGGATGCCTTGTTTCAAGCTTTTATCATTTAACATTGCAATGAAGTACATCAAAAATTGCCATCGATTTTCTAATAGTGCAAATTTGTGGAAGGAAGAGTAACCATATCTCATGTTTTCTGAAGTAATATGTGGTAATTTCTGCCAGTCACAATTTATATGATTTTAAGGTGCATTCAGCTGTCTTTCTCTTCTTGAGTGGCACCCACTTTGCTGTTGGGAGCATTGCAGGTGAATCTTGTATCCTTAGAGGTGCAAACTTTCATTCACTAAATGCCTTCCATTTTTTTGCCAATGTGGGGTGATTATTTTGATTATTTGCTGCAAGTGTTGCGGTAGTTTTCTCTTGTTGCGGCGTACGTGGCGCGTTTTTAAGCACTCACCATTTTCCCAAGCCACAGCCTGGGTGATCTGAAGATTTTCCATGATTTGTTGTTTCACTGGTTTATTAGCCATTCTTCTGTCACTGGAAATATCAATTCACCGTGTAAAGAGGTAGATAACCCGCAGGATGCATGCTGCCCCCACTCCCGAACGTTGTTTACGTGTTTCTTGTGTTCCCGTCAAGGCTTCCGTTATTCTCGCTGCAGTAGATGCTGCCATATCGCCTAGGTTTAACGCAGCCCAGATAATCAATATTTGACCAAGACGGGCAGAAACCCTTGGCCCATACTGTCGTCCGTCAGGCTATCTGCCTCGAACACACCGTCTTCAAGCGTTTGTTTGAATCTTTCAGTCGAGTTGAATTTCATGATGTAAATGCAAATAACACAACCAGTGGATAATTGGACAGCTAGCCTTCCGTTCTGTCCCCTGCTCCCCCTTCCCATCACGCAGGCCGCTGAACCCTCTCCCTTGTTAAACGTCGTCCCCTGTCTCTGCAGACCCGTGCGTGTACGTGCTGCGCTACGCTAACAAGCTGGAGCTGGGCGGCCGGACGCACGAGGTGTCTGTGACGGCGGCGCGACTGATGCAGCGCATGAAGCGCGACTGGCTGCACATGGGGCGCCGGCCGTCCGGCCTGTGCGGCGCCGCCCTGCTCATGGCCACTCGACTGCACGGCTTCAACCGCACCGTCGATGACGTCATCAAGATCGTCCGCGTCCACCAGAGCACCGTCAAAAAACGGTACGGTGGCCGGCGGGGCCGGCGGCAACGGGGCACCCTGCAGGGGAGGGGGGGGGGAGGGGGGGGGGCGCTCGAGCATCGTCCTCCGGGTGGAACGTCGGGCGTATCTGCTCAAAGATCGACAGGAGTTTATTTCAACGATCTGAAACACAAGAGAAGCATTCTGTGCTGCGAAGCTCTCGGCGAGCTGCTCTTGCGAGTTGACTTTTGTGCGAAGAATATCTAAATAAAATATTTGAAAGTCTGAAAGATTTTATGAGTTTGTGCGCTGCCGACACCCGCGCTCGCCTCTGAAGCATACCGCGTGCTGATCCACACGCCTCGCGTGCGCAGTCTCTCCGAGTTCAAGCAGACGCCGTCGTCGTCGCTGACGGTGGAGGAGTTCATGAACGTCGACCTGGAGGACGAGATGGACCCGCCAGCGTTCACAAAGTCCCGGAAGAAGGACAAGGAGCGGATAGCACAGGTCGGTGACCTGCCACGTGACAGAGAAATGCCGCGGGGTCCGCTCCGACGGGTAGCAACCTCACGGGTTTGGCGTCTCTGGCTGATGTGGTGGTCGTTCAGCGCTCTTGTGGAATCGGTGACTTGCGCTGCTGTTGGCAACGGGGCCTGGGCCTTTCGGCAGTGTGCTGTGGGGAGATTCGCATCTTTGTTCGGCGTGGTCCTGCGCTGGTTCTGAAGTGTGGACTGCACTGGCAGTAGTTTGCTTGTCACACAAAGTTTGTTTGACGACAATCTAAACTAACTTCCCACCTTTCATGTTTTAAGCGAGTCTTAGGCTGTCTGTGGGGGCTGGCGTTGAATGGGTCAGCCAAACACCGTCACTTTAACTAGCCCGCCATTTGTCTGATTCTAGCGATGGTTTTTTCAGCTGAACGAAGGAGAGGTGACGCTAGAAATCAAGGCGTTGCAGAAAGAGATCGACAAACAATTAGATGATCGTAAAAAGCGATTACAGGACACATGGAACAACTCCATCGGTGAGAACATCGCTGCGGTGCGCCAAGGCCCGGCACCGGCAGCATGACGAGGTGTGCTGGTTTTGGTTCCCATGTGGTGAGACCATGCTGAGCGATGTTAGCCGGTTCTGCCGCAGTCAGAGATAGTCGCCTTTATTTGAGTATGGCGTACAACCCGACGGGTTGTGGCTGGTGTGCCATGTTGCTATGCCAGTCACTATGCATTCTTTATACTGTATCTCTTCATCACCGCCATGAATGGCTGCCTGGCTACCCGCGGGTACTTACATGCCTGACTACACCTCTGGTCCTCATGCCGGGCTACACCTCTGGTCCTCACATGCCTGGCTACACCTCTGGTCTTCACATGCCTGGCTACCCGCTGGTCCTTCCATGCCTGGTTACGCACCTGGTCCTCACATGCCTGGTTACACCCTTGGTCCTCACGTGCCTGGCTAGCCGCTGGTCCTCACATGCCTGACTAGCCACTGATCCTCACATGCCTGTCTTCACCTCTGGTCCTCACAAACCTGGCTAGCTGCTGACCCTCACATGCCTGGCTACACCTCTGGCCTTCACATGCCTGGCTAGCCGCTGGTCCTCACATGCCTGACTGCAAGCATGGTCCTCACATGTCTGGCTACACCCCCGGTCCTCACATGCCTGGCTACACCCTTGGCCCTCATCTGCCCGGCTGCGCCCTTGGTCCACGTTCTCCCGTGTCTGCCGCCGCCCCGCCTGACCGCCGTCCCCCGTCGCCCGGCAGACGAGCCGCCAGCGTCTCCGGAATCGGGCGACGGGCGCGAGTCGCAGGACGTCTCGCTGTTTGTACAGGAGCACACGCTGGAGCTGATCCGCGACTGCGTCGGCGAGGACCTGGGCCCGGCGGCCGACACCGCGCTCATGCCGCCGCCGCCGCCGCCTGCCGCCGCTGCAGCTGCCGCCCCGCAGCGCCCCGGTGGGTTCTCGGATGCGCGGCCATCCGGTGGCGCTGGCTGTGCCCGGAGGGTAACCGCCAGCGCCGTTTGAGGACCGGGGTGAGCGGGATTGACGCCCCACGCCGTCGATGCCGATGGCCGGCTACGTGTGGCGGGGCCCGCAATCTGTTCTTGTCCGGCTACTTATGGACTGTGAGGCACGCGATGCCACCGCGCCTGGATAGAGGGCGGAAGGCTGACGGTGATGTGTTCCGACGCGCGACGGCGCTGTCCCGTCGGCCTTTACGATGGCGCCTGGGGTCGGTGGTGGCACTGCAGTCGCCGCCACGCCGGGTCCACGGCCCCCACGCCGTGTCCGGCCGTGACCCGGCCGCCGCCGGCCCGCACGCTCCACTGACCGGTCGCCGGACACGCCGCCAGAGGCGCTGACGCCGCGGGGCGCCGAGAGCGGCATGGGAGTCAGCCGCGCGCTGCTCGGCCTCACGGCGTCGGTGGACGGCGACGGCGCGGCCGCCGCCGACGGCGACGACCCGGCCAGCCTGGAGCTGGACATCAGCGGCATCGACGACGACGAGATCGACTCGTACATCATGTCCCCGCGCGAGATCCGGTTCAAGACCAAGCTCTGGTTCAAGCTGAACGCCGACTTCCTCAAGGAGGAGGAAGGTGGGTGAGAGGCGCGCTTGATTAGGGGTCCGCGTGCGCCGGTGGTGACGTTCTGGCACGTTCTGCGTGGCGTGGACGCCGGCATATGTCCGCCAGATGTACTATGTGTATATGGTGTATATGTATATGGTATATGTACCATGGTATATGGATGCCGGCATGTATTTGTGACCGTCAGATTGTGTCTAGAAAGCCCAGGGACTTGGATAAACCTCATATTTTGTTTCCTTGTGAAGCGTGCGGAAGGCACTCCAGGTAGGCTTTCAAACAAAGTCATCTGGACTAGCGAGGCGCAACCGAACGTGACGACTTACGAACGATCCAAAGTAATCACGTCACGGCTATTGCACCAACGTAACGTAACCTTCACTATGACCGGGTGTTCGGCATCCGCCCGCGTGCCGGCCGCGTCCGCCGTGACACCGCCGTGCGCCGCCGCAGTGAAGAGGCAGCGCGCTGAGGAGGAGCGTCTGCAGCGGGAGAGGGACGGCAAGCCCGAGAAGAAGAAGCGCGGCCCGCGCCGCAAGAAGGCGGGCGGCCTGGCGGCAAGCACGGCCGAGGAGGCCATCGAGAAGATGCTGCACGAGAAGAAGATCTCCAACAAGATCAACTACGACGTGCTGCGCGAGCTGACGGGCGCCGCCGACACCAAGGTGGACCTGAAGCGGGAGCTTAAGCCAGACGTCGCCGAGCTGGTGCTGCCAGCCTCCCGGTGAGCACCGCTGCTGCTGTGGGGTCCGCTCCGTGGTGTGCCAGTCTGTTTTCCTGCGCCACGTGTTGCGCCACGAAATTCACGTGCCGCACATGTGCTCACAGCTTTTTACGTTCTTGTTGCCTGCTAAAATAGCCCATTTGTTTTGAGCCGGACTTCAGGTCATGCTAGACCAGAGTAGCTCAACACATCGGGTAACGTTCCGCGCACGTCCCCCCTTCGGCACGTGCACGAGCCCTACCACAGTCGTCAGCAGTGGCTGCCTGGTCGCGGTCGCCGCACGAGCTCTCACGTGACGCCGGGCCCGCCGCGCCGACAGGAAGCGGCATCTGTCCGGCAGCGAGGCGGCCGGGCCGTCGCGCGTCCGGCGGCCGCGGCCGGCGCCCACCCTGGCGCCCCGCGGCGGCCGTTCCGGCCCGGAGCCGGCCGCCGCCGCAGCAGCAGCCGAGCCGCAGCCGCAGCCGCAGACGGAACCGGAGCCGGAGCCCGAGCCCGAGCCGGTGGTCGAGTCCGGGCCGGTGGTCGTCGAGTCGGGGCCCGTGCAGCCAGATGAAGGTATGCGTATATATATATATATATATACATATATATATATATGTATATATATACATATATATATGTATATATATACATATATATATATATATATATATATATATATATATATATATATATAGGATGAGAGTGACCGATGCACCCTGTTCCAGCTACGCTTAGCATTTTCTCCATCAGAGTGAAAGCCATGTGGAAGCCCCGCCCCCCCGCATCACACGCTTTTGTGGACTTGATAAAAGTTCTCTTGCATGTTAAATAAAAGACATTAAAACAATGAGGTGTACAAAATTGCGTTACCGTTATCACCGTTACTGCCGTCCCATGACCTCTAAGCGAGTTGAATGACATGTGTGCCTGTATGTGGAGCGTGTCATGGCTGTGCGTGTCCGGAGAAGAAACATAACGCCAAATTAGTCCTCCTTTTTTAAAGTGCTCATCATATCAATATTTGTTAAGACAAGGCGCTGGGTGTGAGCCCCCCCCCCCCCCCCTCCCCCCCCCCCCCCTCCCCCCCCCGAGGCCACCCCGCCTCGAGAACGTCCTGAATATGCGGCGTCATCCACCGGCGCCGGCCGTTCGTGAGAACCGTCGGCTCCCACATGGCTTTCCGCCAGGCACGAAGGTGGTGACGAACGTGCAGGCAGCGTAGGCAGTGACATTGCGTGGCCCTGATTGACATAAACGGCACACGGGATGCTGAGACAAAAATCGTTGCGTAATGCCTCTGAATGGAAAGCCATGGAAAACAGTTCAGATGAGTCATATCAGTCGCCGCCCGTGGCATTCCTTGTTTGCTTTCGACGATGATGGGCTCCATCAGCACGGGAGATGTCATGCTAGCCGTTTGTATTTCGTATGACTTGTATTTTTATGTCTCATTTTGTTGTGCCACTTGGGACCCTCTAGGGCTCATACCACATCACGTCACTAAATTTCATGTGCACACCCGAGGCACACACACGGTAACCGCGTGATGTTTTTTTCCGTAGTGTTTTGAACTCCATTTGGTGATAATGTATGTCCAGAGAGGGATTGCAACCCTACCTAGCAATTCCGTAGTCATTACGGCCTGATGCTGTGGACGTATTCCGTGACTGTGTCGAGTCTTCCCGCCGTATGTGATGTGGTCCTCCCTAACTGTCCGCCACATTGGCCGCAGATTCTGTCATCCGTGTTCGTTGCTGCGCATGTGACGTCGCTCGATGTGTCGCGCGAAGAGCGGCACTCAGCAGATGTTCGCCCGTGGCTGTCACTGGCTGACGTGTTTCCTGGCGGATTGCAGACGAGGAGGAGGCCGAGTACGACGAAGAGGACGATACCATGCTGTCTGCCGCGCAGCTTCTCAGCCAGCACGGCGGCGACGACTATGGCTACGCCGAAGAGGACTACTACTAGTCCCTTGAGCTGACAAAAGATGGCAGCATCGGTGCCTTTTTGGGTTTATCGCCCTGCGGCATGCCAGTGGCTCGGAGAACGCTGCTATGAGGGAACCGAAATGATAAATCGTCGGCCATATGTTCCGTATTGCTCTCTGTCTTGTCTTGCTCCTCGCCTCGCTTCGATTGCTTGGCCTAACCTGTTACCGTCGCACGCGTTCACTTACCAACGATACTCGTAGTCAGGCTTTACGTGGGGGGGGGGGGGGGGGACGCTGATTTGACCTAGGTCTCCGTTGTTGGCAGGTGGTAGGTCGTGGCTTTTGGGTTGTTGTAGTTCGTTCTGGCTCTCGTGGTTTCATACCATGTAACAGCAACCCTTTAAGGCCGTTGCGCGGTTATGACATGTGTATATTATTTATTTGTAGGAGCGTCGAACGGCTTATATATGGATCATGAGTGAATCTCGATTTCAAGCGGGCATTGAGTTAACAGAACGAGCGTTCAGCTCACTTCAGCCACTATAATATTTTGCATTTATTTGTTGATAAAATTACCGGAAGAGAGGGTATCAACTTTGCAGAGTATCGTAAAATCCATGTATAGCAGGTGCCCGGGACTAAGGGCAGGAAGTGGGTTTGACGGAAGGAAAGACGGATAGGTTACAACAGGTCTTCTTGTAGCGGAAGCGGTGAGCCCGGTGCTGGCCTCCTGCGAGGATGCGCTTTAAATTGGGATGCCTGAGCTTAGGAGGAAATGTTTTGCTTCACTGAAAGGGCTAAACCGTCTGCGCCTGACATAAGACACACATAACCGCTGGGCACAGCCGCAGTCGGGTGGACTCTTGCAGGGACTTCAGGACCGAGAAGTCAGGCGAGAATTCCACCAGGGCGAGGTTTGTTTATCCAGTCATACCCACCTGCCCTCGTCCGCTTTGTTTTTGTCGTGTCTGGTCGGCGCCCCGCAACTCCTGCACTCGGCCTTTTGCAATGGAGTACCGAGGACAGATCCGGTGCGAATGACACGGCCTTTCCTGTGACACAGTACAAAGGTGTTCACTGTTGATGGCGTGCTGCGGCGTGGTATTCTGTCGTTCCACGAGCGTGTGAATGGTGTCTGCATGCAAGACACGGTATCTACTGTTGTGTGTGCAGCAGTGCGTAATGAACGGATCACAATGCGAAGATGTGTGGGCGAAAGTCTATGAAGCTGGCGTTTAAATTGATTTAGAAAGTGAATGGCGTGGGATGTGAATACTCCGCAGAGTCGATAGCGCTGCTTGTAAATATTGATGTGAAAGGCGAAGTTTGTCAACCGTCAAATCAAATACAACACTGCGACCAAATGCCGACTTGGCAGCCGTTCTGGAATCCGCGGTGTCGGCGTGGAAGCGCATCACTGGAGCGTTGGAGCATGGAACACGACCGGGTATTGGGTAGCAGGGACTACGGGCTCGTTTTATGACCTGTGCTTCACCCCGGTTTTATAGATTCGATTCGAGTTCCTGGCAGTGCGTAACGCATCACGATTTTTGGCCAATCCTGACTGCGGCACAAGCAGAGGCGGTTTTGTTCGGGAATCCCCTCCGGTTCGAGTTTTGAGGCAAGTCATCCGTTGGGAGTCATCCTTGTAAAAGCCACGTTTGGGTGTAAGGAGAACCACGTACTTGATCACGCAAGGTCGGCATTTTCTCAGGGACTATTGTACCACCCGCCCCCTTGGTGCCTACGCCAAGATAACAAAATATACTATGCTCCATTTTTTGTGCATGCAAGCTCTACTAGAATACAACACGACGTTATAGATATATCGATGGCTGTAGTTTTGCTTCATTCCGATCGCCACTGATTATAGACCCTGAGCCCGTAGCTCCGACCGCGGCTCTCAAATTTTTCCCAGCATCCGATTTCATCAGAGTCGAGACTGGCGCCACCTGTGGTCGTGCATATGTCCTGCGGTAGTGGTTAAATTTATTACGCATTGGTATCGAATAAACACCAGAAAATCAACTTATGAACTTATTCGGTCTTTCCAGTGCATTTATGTCCACATCGCACAAGCCACGCACATTCAACCCTCGTGTGACAGCGACAGCGACAGGTGCTGAGTGAGGGTTACGTTTTGCACGCACGATTACCTGTCAAAGACGCATTTATTCATAATCAATAAGGACGCTCCCTGAACAAAAATGTTTACTATCGCATATCGTTCATAACATAGGGAACTTTCTTACTGACCCACGGTGATGTCATGCGGCGGGATTTAAAGCCATCAGAGTAACAAGGCTCTAAAGCTTCGTATTTTTAAATCAAGCTACGATGGGGGCATGAATTTAACCTCCTTGCATCAGCGAGCGGAAATTCCAGGGATGTGTTTGTGGGAGGTCCGCTAAGACTATGCACTATGCATCCAAGCTGAGTGGGCGCTCCACGATCGTTTACCGAATTAAGTTACAATACGGTGTATGGTACCGATACTGGTCATGTTTAGGTTAAGGGTGATGCATGTCAACGCTAAGGGCGGGTCCGGAAGCGACAGGGGAGGGGCTTTGCTACTTTGTTGTTCATGGGAACCAGGCATAAATAACCCGCCGAAAAAGCGCCATCGTGTTGGCAGAGGTCGCTGCATTCTTCAGTATATGGGTGCAGGAAACGCACCACACCGAGTTGTGAAAACTGGCATGTGCCATGCAACCATAATGGCCATGCCATGCGACGCCAGGCAGTTATATCAGGAAACCAGCAACGATGATTTGCTTTGAGACCGGTCATCGACAAATCATAATTTTCTTTTTTCGGGCCGTTCGTATCATGTATACGGACATCGTCAATCGCAACAATTCAGAGGTGCATATAGGTATGAAAAAGGTGGTGGTAGTTGATGTGCAGAGGAGGAAAATAGTCCGATAGCAAGTTTTCAAAGTTGTTCTGCGTGCGCCGCACTAATTCGACCATCATTACGTTATCATTCTGCAGGCACAAGAATGTTGGCTAGCGCTGAGCCAATTAACGCTGATATTTGACGAGATGTGGGCACTGTTATTCCTGGTTTGCATTTCAGCATGACAAGATTACGTTCTGCATCCTTATGACTTTGTCAGATAATACTGATATTGATGACAATAAAACATGCGAACACCGAATGTCGAATAGCTGCATAAGTTAATGATATCCAACAACATATGGATATCATACGACGTATCCAACGGCATATGGGGAGGGGCTGGCTGTTCATGGATGGAGATACTATGGGCGTTGGGGCTGGAGTTCGGGCTTCCGGATCCCGGAAGGCCTAAAATGTTAGGGTGGGGGGAGGGGTAGTGGGTTTCGGCGTTCTAAACCGGGAGTGGGGATGGTGGGTCCAGGTGCTCCATGACAAGGCTTTATCGGCTCACTCGTCATGAGGATTTGGCCGGACTGAATGAAAAAAAACAACTTTTTTGCCATGATAGAGGTTCAGACAGTGGCAGATAGTCTGATGGCTCAATAGGCCACAAATGGCTGCCCCGCTTCCCTATGGCTGCCAAGTTTAACCTCTCTGTACATCATGACCACTCACGCTTGGGGACCTTTTGTAAAGATCCTTTCAACCCTTTCGAACATATGGATTTCTGAGATCGGAGCTAACGCTAAGCAGTGCTTGTCGAGAGCCCTGACCCCTACTATCCGATCGCACAAATCCAAGTCAACGGCAGAATTTGATAGCGAACGCCCAACGTGCCGCTGTGCTTTGCATGGTCTATCCTGCCCTCTGACGTCACCTGACTTGTGGCGCGACCGCTGCGACCGGCCGCAGGGCACCTAAAGCGACCTAACCCCCCCCCCCCCCACGGGTGATTGGATCGGAAGAAAAGCCCTCTAACCAACAGGGCTTCGGGAAAAGGGGCCCTTGAAACTAATGAGGGTCTCTGGCGCTCAGAGGTGGCATGTATCGTTCAGGGCCCGTTCTATGCGCTTAGGGCGCTACTGGCCACTTAGAGGCAGGCTCAACTGCTCCGGGCTTCTCTAATCACCACGACCTCGCTGGGTCACTTGGGGCCTCGGAACGCTGAACAGCCCTGGTGGCACTTACCTGTAAATAATAATGCAAATATGCAGCTTACAAATATGCAGCATTTGAGACATGAGCTGGCGCAAACACTTCGTCATAAGGCCCTATGTCGATGTAACAAACTGGGAGGATTCCTACACGTAGTGTGAGGTATATGAGTGGTCGGTATGAAAATGCGGAAGCCATCCATTTGGGCGCAGTCACGTAATTTTTATGATAGTCTTGATGTGCTCTCAGCGCAAACTTGCAGAAATGATATAATGGGGTGGAATTTGTGGCGTTCGGACCCAGCCACGCCGTGTGCGTGATGTTTGTTTCTGCTAGTTTGAGTTGGTCTGTTGGCCTGTTTTCGCTCATTAGACCTTTGTCAGAGCCTGTGGACACTCAAAGTCAAATGCACACTAATAATTTATGTTGAAGCAATCACTGGGTGTTGTCAAGAAGGGCTGAAAACTAGCAAGCAGTCCATGTGATATGTAGATGATTGTTAATGTTCAGCTCTGCTGATGTTTAGAAAAATAAGATTTCATTATTTTTGTAAAGGAGTATTGAGAGGTGCTCAAACCACTGTGGATTCTTGTCTATTAACCATATGGGGATATATAGTCAGCACATTTACTTTTACTTTTAGCTTTATTTGGCTAAGCATTTCTGGAATTGCCTTACCATGAAAACAATGAGGCACTAATAAGTTTAATTTTCTTTTTGCTTGAGATGAGATTAAAAAAGTTCTAGAGGCTGGGGAATGCATCTATATTTTTAGTACATATATGTGTATGTGCACACACACACACACACATATATATATATATATATATATATATATATATATATATATATATGATGTATCATATCATGCATCATATGATATGATATGATGCATCATATGATACATCATCATGATACATCATGCATCACACATATATATATATATATATATATATATATATATATATATATATATATATATATATATATGATACATGCATGATGTATATAACTTATGTGACTGATGTACCTACAGGTTACTCAAGTTTGGTTCACATGCTACCAAGTTCAAGCTACATGTCCATTGTACCACAACTGTTAGTACAGGGTGCAGCAGTACAGGGTGTGATTGCTGCAGGGTGCAGCTAGTGAACATGTACTCTTCTTAAATCAAAGATTGCTTTAAGTCTTCAGCCAATTTTTTATCAGTGTTCCAAGAAGTGCTATATGCTAACATTATGTCATTAACTTGTTTGCTTTCATTGCAGGTCCAGGCCTTTCAACTAAAATTTTGGGAGTGTTTACCACAAGAACACCACCAAAAATGTGGCAAAAGTCCTGTGGTAAAAAAGTCATGGTCATTATGTCTGGGCTTAGGTAATTTTTAGTTGATTATTATTAACAACTCTTGTCAGTACTGTGAGGTGACTCTGTAAAGTAAGGCATAACTGAACTTTTCTAATTACAATTTGTTGAAAAAAGTCATGCATGTCATGCTATACAAGTCATGATAGAGAAGTAAAAAATACATGTCATACATAGTGTGCATGATATACTATGCATGGTATAGATATAACCATATTATAGATATGACTGAAGTACATCTCACCTCTGCATAAAACCATTTTGAGGCTAACAGTGTAAGTCCATTTATTATGGTCAGTCCACTCAGGATCACCAAGTATTACTTGTGAGCCAGCACTGTAGAACACTAGCTCCCACCTCCTCACTCACACCTGCACCCACCATGGCTGAGTCCCACCAGCCGCTGCTACCGCCCAATACGACTGTCGACACCGGCACCCCGCTGCCCAGCGGCCGCTGCGCGCCCCTGTACGTGCTGACCTTCCTGAGTGCCATTGGCGGCTTCCTCTTCGGCTACGACACGGGCGTGGTATCTGGCGCCATGGTGCTCGTGCGCGCCGAGTTCAGGCTCTCGGACACGTGGCACGAGCTGATCGTGGCCGGCACGGTCGGCTCAGCGTGGCTGCTCTCGCTGGCGGCCGGGCCGCTAGCTGACCGGCTGGGCCGCCGGCCTGTGCTACTGACGGCCAGCGCCGTGTTCGTCGGCGGCGCGCTGCTGGCCGGCCTGAGCACGTCGCCGGCGGCGCTGCTGGCCGGCCGGCTGGTGCTGGGCGTCGGCATCGGGCTGGCCAGCAGCGTCGTACCCGTCTTCATCGCCGAGGCAGCGCCGGCCGACGCGCGCGGCGCGCTCACCACCATCAACTGCGTGTTCATCACGGGCGGCCAGCTGGCGGCGGCGCTGCTGTGCGGCGCGCTGGCCGCCGTGCCGCGCGGCTGGCGCTGGATGATGGGCTTGGCGGCGCTGCCGGCCGCCGTGCAGCTGCTGGGCCTGCTGGCGGTGCCCGAGTCTCCGCGCTTCCTGCTGGGCCGCGGCCGGCGGCGCGAGGCGGCCGCCGCGCTGGCGCGGCTCCGGCCCGCTGATTTCCCCGTCGACCTCGAGCTGCAGCGGATCGGGGCGCAGTGTGCGCGCGAGGCGCGCCGCCGTCCGCCCGCTGCTAGCCTGCTGGTCGAGATGCTGCGACGGCCGACCGTGCGCCGCGCGCTTCTGCTCGGCTGCGGTCTGCAGCTGTTCCAGCAGCTGACCGGTATCAATACGGTGATGTACTACAGCGCCAGCATCATCCAGCTGGCCGGCGTGCGGGACGTGTCGCTGGCCATCTGGCTGGCCGCTATCACCGCCGCCGTCAACTTCGTCGGCACACTTGTCGGCCTGGTGCTGGTAGAGCGGCTGGGCCGTCGGCCGCTCACACTGGCCAGCCTGCTGGGCGCGGCACTCTCGCTGCTGCTGCTGGCCGGCGGCTTCCTGTTGAACGCGGCCGAGTCGCCGCCGGTGGTGGCGCCGCCCGGGTCGCCAGACTGCGACCGAGCCAACTGCGCCGGCTGCCAGGCGGCCGGCTGCGGCTTCTGTTTTCCTGCCGACGCCGGCCGGCGTCACCAACGGCTCATGCCTGCCGTTCGTCTCGCCGGCGAACGCGTCGGCGGCGGGCGGCGCGTGCTCGGCGCCCGGCCTCGTCTGGGCGGGCCGACTGGTGTCCGGCATCGCGCTCCTGGCTGGCCGTGCTCGGGCTCTGCCTGTACCTGATCTGCTTCTCGCCCGGCATGGGCCCGATGCCCTGGACGGTCAACGCCGAGATCTACCCGGCGTGGGCGCGCGGCACCGGCAGCGGCCTGGCCGCCTCCTGCAACTGGCTGGCCAACTTGGCCGTGTCGCTGACGTTCCTGACGCTGGTGCACGCGCTGGGACGCGCCGGCGTGTTTTTCCTGTACGCTGGCCTGGCCGCCGTCGGCTGGATCGTGTTCTTCCGGTGGCTGCCCGAGACGCGCGGCGTCCCGCTCGAGGACATGGCGGTGCTGTTTGGCGGCGATGGCGACGACCCGCCCCTGTCCGAGGTGAGAGGCGTGAAATGTGCCCCTGTCCCGAGGTGAGAGGCGTGAGACCTGCTCCTGTCCGAGGCGAGAGGCGTGAGACATGCCCCTGCCCGAGGCGAGAGGCGTGAAACCCACCCCTGTCCAATGTGAGAGACGTGCGGCCCGCCCTTGTCCGAGGTGAGAGACATGATACCGTGAGATAATTGTGACTTGCGATTGGCTGTAGGTCGGAGTTAGTCATTAGTTACCGTTTTGATCGCCCTGTTTGACTTGGAAGTACCATTTCATGTCTTTAAATACTTCTCGGTTGCTAGTCAGATCGAGGTTAAATACCAGACATCCGACACGCATGCCGAAGCCGAACCTAGTGTATCCTATCTGGAACGGTCAAACTGATCTGCACGGGCGTATTTTCAGGATGATCATGGCGCAGACGGACTGCTGCAAGAGGATCCGCTAGAGCCACCTGACGACGGCCAGTTTGAAGAATAACCATGACGACCGGCCGGCCTGAGGGAGCCGGCAACGCTGCAAAGTCGCCGCGGTGGTCACTGGTGATGGTGCGGGGAGGCCGCGGAGGGGACGGAAAGAGTCAAGGATAACCTCGGAAACCAAAGTATTTTTATACAAACAGGGCCAAGCATGCGAAGTTCTGCGGACTGCGAACAAATGCACGGAGTACGCGAACGGATAACATTAATGGAAATACAGACATTGATAGTACTTCTGTCAACCAAGGACAAATATACCGTCAATTTTGTCGTGCGTGGGGCGGACGAGGTCGGGCCTTTATACGGGCATCTGTGTGCAGGATTGTGTCTGATTTGTAAGGAGGTAGTGTTGTTCCGGGTACCTGATGTCAGTGCTTCCGCGGCGCTCGGCCTGTCGAAGGGTTGTCGTCCAGCGCCGCGCCAGTGTGTTGTGATACCAGCTGCTGATGTGATCTCCGCTGCGTTCGTCGCGCCCCGCCGCCGAATCGCGGCCACCACGCTATAAACACGTCTTCTCTTTGGATTTATTCGCCGCGATGGACGTCCATTGAGCCGGCGACCCGTGGCGGCGCACCGGACTGCTCTAAACGACACGGCCGACGCCCGAGGGCACGGCCGGCCGACACTAGCGGAACGCACGACACGCAGAACAGAGCGGAGAGAGGCGACGCGGCCGACCGCTGCGCCGGCAAGCACGAGAGGCTACGGGGGAGGGTGAGACGGGGTCCCATCGGCCGCGGGGCTGCGACGGCTGATCAGCACGACGCGCCGGCAGCGCACGCGGCTGACGGCTCCAAGGAGTCGACGCTAGTAAAATCGGAGAGCATCTCAACGGGCGACTGGTTACGTGTCGATAGTTCTGGAAGTGCAGTGAGGGCAACTAGCAATACCACTCAAGGTTGCGACGTACCCCGTCGAACGCCACGGACAGGATAAGCGAAGAACACCACGCGACTCGGTTGCTGCGAACGCCATTTCGCAGAACAGAAGACGTCTTGAAACACTGGAATGGGTAGCTAGCAGGCGAGAGCGAACGGCGTCTCCGGCCGCCGCAAAGGTATTCACACGCTATAGTGTGGCAGCTCAGCTCATCACATGGGGCGCTCCCAAGCCCACTGTGATCCCGCCACACGTCCGAGACCGTCCTATACTGCACAAACCAGCCCGAAACGGCCCCGCCAGGGTAGTCATCCGACCGCAAGCTACCGATGCACATAAATTATACCCGCACGCCGGCGCCGCATAACTCAACAATACATGGCTATATCGGAACCAGGCCCCAGACTATCGCCTGCGGGTAGAAAAGAAGCCGTCAGCGACACTATCACACCAACAAAGTAATAAACCAGCAGACTTGCGCCCCCCAGAGCGAGGCATGGACTCGTCGGCGGCGCGGGGCCTCCCCCGGCCGGCCACGTGGACTCGGCGGCTGATTGCGCGCCTACTTCAGGTCCTCCTGTATGGTCTTCTTTATCCGGTTCAGCATCATGGTGGTCCACTGGTCGAGGCGCGAGATCGAGTCGTACTCGGTGACCGTCTCGGTGAACGCGTCCACGTTCTCCTCCTCCAGGTGGGTGCAGATGGTCTGTAGGACAGGGCGCAGGGCGTCGGCAGGAACGCAAGACCCCGTCCGAAGTCGCATGGGCGGCAGGACCCGCACGTCGGAGACGCCACGGCCACCAGGCACACGGGTGCCGACATCCGCAGGTGGTGTGGGGGTCGGACTATCATACAACGCTTGTAGTGGGTTCTGGGAAATGACTGACGACTGGAACTGACAACGCATCAGTTCCAATCAAGCCCCAATTATGCTGGGGACGTGCCCCACTGTACCCACGTGTGACCGGATAACACCGGACGCTGTTATGACCACGGACAAGGGGCTATATACCAGGCGAATCACCCGTCTGGTTATGAAGGGAATCCGCCTGTCAACAAAACCACGAACGGCAACGTCACCAGCAATAAAAACAGGTCATACACCTCGTCCTCCCCGTCCTGGGGAGCGATCGCCGGAGCGTCTCCACCGCTAGCCCCGCGCCCACCGGCAGCGCCCACCCCACCTTGATGAGCTTGCACTCGCGCGAGTCCTGGAACGCCGGGTACATCTCCTGGTAGCGCTGCACGGCGTTGTTGGCGTTGATGACGTCGATGCACAGGTGGCAGAGCAGCGCCCGGAAGAAGTAGTCCTTGGCGCTGTACTTCAGCAGCGAGCTCTCCAGGGAGGTGCCGGCCACCTGGCGGCCACAGCGCGCGCGCCGTCAGGCATCGCGAGGGGGGGGGAGCAACGGGCTCCGGAGCCGAGGGGAGAGCAGCAAGTGACACTCAACGGGAGGGGGGGGGGGGACTGAACCCTCTCAGCGTTGGTGCTTACAAGGTGTCACTGGAGGTATCCAAGTGGAACGTTGCTAGCCGCGTCTAGGCCAAGTTTTGTCTGAAGCGGGCAAACCTTGAAAACCCTCGTTTTTTTTGGACTAGAGCCCTTTCGAGCAGAAATGATCATTTCAGGGCAATGGGACGAAGGAACATGATTAACGGTCGGGTAGGCTCACATGCGCCTGGGTGGCCAACCGTCGGGCTTCAACCCGCGCATGCGCGCTGGGTACCCGGTTGGGGTCCCCCTTCCCACGGGGCTCTCGGCCCACTCGTGGCTGTTGCATGCAGCCCGCCCCGGACAAGCGGGGTGTCGCGAGGACGCAGGATGAAGCGAGATAGAGGATAAGAGGGACGGATCGGGCTTTCGCCTACGGCTACCTGGAGAGAACTTGGGCGAAACTCATCACTCCCACAAATGCTTCATCGCCAGTCAGCGGCAAAACACGATTAGAAGCCTTAAAAAAAACATCAAACCACATACAGATGATAATGTCTGACGTTCGGAGGCTCGACTACAAGGCGGCCATTCTGCGCACACTCACATGGCTGGCCTATTTCCGCTGGGTCTAGTCGCAGCTCTCATGAACCATTACAAGCAGGATTCATCGCTGCAGCTACGCTGTAGTTCGAGTGTGAGCAAAGCTCGGGTTCATATACGCCAAAACAGCGAGCACGCGCGTAAGGTCATAACGTGGACCTTGAACTATCAGCCGAGAGGGAGAGGCGCTCGTAAGAGATCACCTCATAAGCTCTCCGCGGGTGGAGGCGACACGAAATAAGCCCTGCTCGACAGTCAAGAACTCTCACGTCCTGCTCAATGGCACCTCCTGGCGGGATATA